CTCAGTGCCACCCAGCTTCTCCTGAGCGTCTGGCATTTGGAAGGACAATGTATCTATCTATAAAGCCTGGCTTATTATTGAAAGCCAGGAGCTCAAAACTCTGGTTTTGCAAGTTAAATCCTGAACATTTGACTTTTATTTTAATGTCTCCTTTACTACACTTCCCAAGGCAATGGATGCTTCTGGTGAATCAAGGGTGTGTTGCATATACGAATGTGAATAAAAAATGAACATAAACCTTCCAAAAATATTATCCCTATCACAGTCGAAATTGAGGGGCTGAGAGGAGAGGGGAGAGGGGTGTTAGGGTTTCATGGGAACAGAGTTCAATGTGAGATGAGGAACATTCTGGAGATGGATAGTGGTAAGGGTTGCAACAGTGTGACTGCACTAAATAAAAACGGTTAAAAGGGTCAATTTTGTTGTGCATATTTCACCACAGTAAAAAGCAATTCACCTTGCTTCCCAGTCAGCAGGCGAGTGTGAGAAGCTTTCTCACTCTGTCCTGGAAAAAGAGCAAGGAACACATTGGGTAAGATGGTGGTCTGTGGTCTCAGGAGGACAGTGCTGACCTCCTGGGGTCCAGCTCCCTGGTGCTGTCCTATGAGTGTGACCAGCCAGCAGGGATCTTCTGCTGCCTACCTGTCTTGATCATGAGCTCTGAGCAAGCAGGGGTGCAGCGGGCTGTGCATCTTCCCTGCAACAGCATACTTCCTGTCTAGTCCCTGCAAACGCTTGTGTGCTGTGTAGACTGCTACAATGTGCCTGGAGGAGGGGGCCGTGGGGCCCACATTTCACCTGCATTCAACCCAAGCCCTGTGTGGTTGGGGCGGGATCTCCTCCTGTACAGGTGATTGTTGGCACCAAGCCTGACCTTTATAGTAACACCATTTGGCACAGTCCATGTTGGATTATTACCCAGACTGCTTGGATTCCTCTGATTCAAGTGCTCACTGAACCTCTAGGGTGCAGTGACCCCACTGCATGGGGCAGTGACCTTAGAACAGTTCCCCTCTGCAACAGGAATCCACATAAGTCAGGTGGAGGAGACTGGGGCTTGGGGAACGAGTTCCCAGCCAGGATGCAGAACACACACCTGAGCACACATGGCTGAAAAATGTTTTCCTGTGCTCTTAAGATCTCTGGTCTTGGGGTGCCTGGGTGGCTCAGTCGGTTAAGCGGCCGACTTCGGCTCAGGTCATGATCTCGCAGTCCGTGAGTTCGAGCCCCGCGTCGGGCTCTGTGCTGACAGCTCAGAGCCTGGAGCCTGTTTCAGATTCTGTGTCTCCCTCTCTCTGACCCTCCCCCATTCATGCTTTGTCTCTCTCTGTCTCAAAAATAAACATCAAAAAAAAAAATTAAAAAAAAAAGATCTGTGGTCTAACATGAGATTAAACTGACATAAGGCAAGTTCATCAGAGGAAGCATCCAAGTGTATTAAATTTTTATATTGACATGGAGGCCTTCACAATCGAATTAAATACCCCAAGGAGTGACCACAACTGGAAACTTCTATACCTTTAGAGAAAGTCTTGATAAATTTGTAAAGAAATGACAAGACAAAGCACAGTAAGTTGTGGGGAGTGACAAGGAGATACTTTGGGGGGCAGGGGACAAAACTAGTGGAAGAACAGGATTATTTAGGAATTGTTTGCATAGATGCGTTCGGTATTGACTCCCAGCCTCCGTTGGTCAGGATGCTCTCTTGCTGGATCCTTTCTCAGGGGAGAACACCTTTCTCAGGGAAATTTTATGACCTGCTTCTGGAAAGGGGATGTTAGAGAGCCTTTCCTGCATCTGCTGCTTCTCAAGTGCCTGCAGCTCAAAACAACCAATATGCCACAGTCGCTTACTTTGGGGGAGTGTGTCCCAAACCCCTGCAGCCTCAGCGAATAGTAGAATGTCTTAGGAACAAAACTGAGGTTTCTGCGGAAGAAGGAATGCTGCATCTAGACTGTGACACAGTGTGTGTGTGTGTGTGTGTGTGTGTGTGTGTGTGT